GAGGGCTCTTGTGAACACGGTGATTAACCTTCGGGTTCCATAAAATGCTGGGAAATTCTAGAGTAGCTGCAGAATTGGCGGCTCCTCAAGAAGGGCTCAGCTCCATGAGTAAGTAAGTAAGCTGTGATTTCAGTAACTTATGATTTAGAAGGTCACTCTGTAATGTGAGGATACGTCATGAACGTCAGCAAGCAGGGGTGTGTGTTCACCATCTGGTGCTAATTGCACGTCATATATACGGCGAAAAGTTCTGAGTCAATATGTTAAGTGATTTGCCACGACAACACGTGTCATTACAAAATTTAAGTAAAGGCATAGATAGGCTTACTATTATTGTATCTTACTGTACTTCGAAAATGTATCCGTTTACTTAAGCAGAATTTCTCTCATGTTAGAAGCGGAATTATTTACACAGGTTACTGATATGTACCATAAGGAACGACTGTGACGGCAGACCAACACACAACAGAACTCCCGCCCTAGCAAGAACGTTCAAAGCAACCACAACCAACAAACCAGACAACACCAAAAGCAACCACGTGCAAACCCAAATAAAATTAAGATCTAAAAGTTTGTGACGATGGTATATTGCTACAAGCATTATGTTTCTGGATATAATCAATCGTCTTGGCTAGTTGCTAAAAAAAGTCCTGTTTCTTTCTTAAAATACAACGTTTCGGAGACTGGATTCTCTCCCCGTCCTAAGGTAAAACCTACTTAGTTGGGTCCGGAGATAGGGCCTAGCTCTATCTATTGGACCCAACTGAGTAGGTCCGGAGATAGGGGCTAGCTCTCTCTATTGGACCCAACTACGTAGGTTTTACCTGAGGACGTGGACAGAATCCAGTGTCCGAAACGTTGTTTTAAAAAAGAAACAGGACGGTTTTTAACAAATAGCCAAGACGATGGTTAATGTCCAGAAACATAATACTTATACCAAATAAAGCTGATGGTATCCCACATAACCAAAAATAACCAGAGGCAACTACAACAGGAGGAAAGAAACCCGCATTACAGCGAGCAGCATAATCCTTAACAATAACAACCTGTACACCTGAAGATGACCAGTTAGGCCGAAACATGTAGTGTCCAATAAAGGAATTCGAAGAAAGAATAGCAAACGACGTTGCACTTAGACGGCACGAAAGCTCCTAAGTCGGATACTGATATGTAATTTGTTACCATGAATGGGATACGTAAGATGTAAGCTTTTAGATCCCCCAAAATGCATTACGTTGACGGCTAGTGTTGCAATAAACTTATTTACGTAACATTCTATTTCATCTCCCTTGTGCAATAATCAGTTAATTTAATTATTTAAATTTCCTTCTTTGTTGTGACTTTCTTTGGCGTTTAGTGCGTCTTCTTCACTGTCACTTTATGTTCAGTTATTTGTTCACAACATGTTTCGGCCACATACGGGTATCATCAGGAACATAAATCATGTGACATAAATTGTTTAATTATATTTCGAGCAGGGTTAATTCTTCTTTTAATTACATGCTTGAATTAATTACAACATCGGCTTTAATAGATAAAATCAGATGTCATTTCTTGAAGGTCGATGGTGTGTTGTATCTCGTTGTATCCATCAACCATGAGCACTTCCTGAAACAAATATATAAAGAAATATACCAAGACAACGCCAAAACAACTGCACTTAGAGTCCACATATGCAATGAGATGAAATACGTTCTCAATTTCTAGAAATAATACTCATATCGTAATTATTATCACCAACCCTCTAATTAACTGAAACTTTAATTTAGAAAATATGTAATGCTTCTATCAACACTGGCAGCACGAATGTGCGATTTGGTTTTTTCGAGGAGGGGACTGTGAATATTATGGCAACTAGTAACCTTGTAGAAGTTTATTGTCAGTTCGAAGTAACTTTCTGCTTCCTTCTTTCGGGTTGAAGAGTTTGTTGCTTTTTCTGTTTATTGTCCTAACCTTTAGTTGGAGGCAGTATGTTCCTTTGAAACGTCGGCGAAATTTTACCAGATCACACGCTGTCATATCTCAGAAAATAGTACTCTTAATCCATATTTTAGATTCTTCGTAAATGTCGTTCTTCCTTTATGTAGTTTGGATGAATATACAAAGTACGAACACTAGAATTCTAGACTTGCTGTGTTCGGCAAGGACTCTGCCAGAAGGACAAGACTTGAATAGGCGGATGTGAAAATAATTGTTTTTTGTTGATTTTCACACCAGCTTCTGTGAGAATTACCAGAAATGATTAAGAATGAGAAAAAAATCGCCAGTGTCTTGCTTCTAGTTACATCTGTGTAAATGCGCCATGAAATTGCCAGCGTGTGATTCCGTACCGGAAACGCCTTTTCGGAAGGTTGACGACGAATTCTCCCAATTTAACGCACAATGAATTTGATTTACATTAGGAAAACATGAGACTGAAATCTCGATTTGGATATGGGTTAAACTAGACTGAAAAGTTCCCCAATATTTTCAGTCCGTCTTCACAAACGAACATCAGTGCGGGCTGCTTACTACTCCTGCTCCATATTCAGCAAATCCCAGGTTTGAATTTCATTATTTTCCTCAGTCCTTGTAGGTAAATCATTATTCACTCGTTCATCATGAGCTCTAAGCCCTTTGTTGGGCCCTGGCGGCTTTTACAGTTTCGTTATCACCAGGGCCCGGATTTTGATGACCAGAAAATATTTTAAAAAATGACCTATAAAATGACCGAAAAAATCCAGAAAAATGACGTACAATATGACCCAAAAATCTAATATGCAGGGCCCGGATTTTGATGACCTGAAAATATTCAAAAAAGACCTATAAAATGACCGAAAAATCCATAAAAATGACCTAACGTAGAAAAGAAAGAACACTTCGCTTCCATGTTATTCACATTTCAGAAAACATATGAAGAAAATTTCCCTAAAATGGCCAAAAATGACAATAAATCCCCTTAAAAGAACAAAAATTTACCAAAATACCTATAAAATTTACATTTCTGTAACCAGCAGCTCATATCCGAGATTTATATATTTAAGAGCATCGCACGGGATACAAGGAAAAAAAGATGACATGTCATCAAAATCCGGGCCCTGGTTATCACATACACAGTCTGTAGGAGTCCTTTAACGAGAGATCAGCCAGTCGCAAAGCCTCTACGTACACACAGGGCAACACAAAAGCAGAATAAACGCATAGACATCTATGCCTCGAATGGGATTCGAACCCACGAGCCAAGTGTTCGATGGAGTGAAGACAGTTCATGCCTTAGACGGCGTGGCCACTGTTTTCGGTCCGTTGCGAAAATGCGTAACGTCAATTGGGCCAACAAATTCGTGTTCATGACACAACAAACCGTGTAGTTGAATCTCGTTGGTAAATAAAACAAAACCCAATCTCTCAGCATATCTCAATGTAGCCTCCTGAAATAGGCTACAACTCCTTCCCCCTCCACCCCTTCCAAATTTAATGCCGAGAACGTGAGTCCGTGGTGAGTTACCTTCATTTTCGAATGCCTTCCATTTCCTCATTTGTTCCTGGCCTTGTTTATTTACACTCACTACCTCACTTTCTAGCCGATCACAATGGCCCCGCGGTCTAATACATGAACTGTCACAGCCCGCTCGAACACTGGAATGGTGTGTTCGAATCCCACTCGAGGCATGGATGTCTGTGTGCGTTTATTCTGTGTCTGCGTTGTTCTGTGTATAGGTGGCGGCCTCCCGACAGGCTGATCCCCAGTCCAAGGAGTCCTACAGACTGTATATAGATTAAGAAACTGAAAAAGCGGTCAAGGTCCACAAGGACTGTAGAGCCATAAATTAATAGATATCATTTCCGTACTTATAGGTCTATAGCGTTCAATGAAAAAGGGCAACGTAACGTAAATGCATTGGATATGACGTTCACACTACAGTGGATATGAAAATTACGATCTTAAAGGCGGCAACTCTTGGTAGTTTCGAAATAGATCGACATTTTGGAGAAAAATATCGTCTCCATTTTAAGTTCGGTGAGAATACCAAGCTGGAAACCTGTCCTTAAAGTCAGAAGAACATCCCGACTCCATCTTGAGACTTGTAGAGTAAGCTGAGCAAGAAGCCATCCCGAAACGTCTGGCTTTTTCCGAAATATAAAGTGAGAGAACCGAGAAGAGTTCACACTTGATAAATAATTAACTGAGAAATGTGAATCTTCGGGCCGGGTTCGATCCCAAGTCAGTTCATATGGTATTTGTTGTGGACAAAGTGTTCACTGGGGCGGGTTTCTTAGTGTACTTCCGTTTCTCTTGCCAACTTTCATTCCACCAACTCTTCCTCATTCATTAGTCTTTCGGTCATTGATGCTAAATATTCCTGATACCGACAGCGTCATTAAATAATAAAAAATTAAAGCTGTGGGCGAAAATTTTCACGAAATTTATCCAGAGAGGCTCAAAGTAAAGTTTCAGAGCATCTCAGTCAGGAAGCCAGGCAGAGGTTCAGATTCCGGACCCACCAGATACATAGGACTTGCCTTCATGCGTACTGCGTGAGACTCAGGCGTAACTACCAATGAATACAAATTTTAAGACAAAGTGGCCGCGCGGTCTAAGGCATGAACTGTCTTCGCTCGCTCCAACTTCGGGATCATTGGTTTTGAATCCCACTGAAAGCATGGATGTCTGTGTGAATTTCTTCTTTGTGTTGTTCTGTGTGTAGGTAGCGGCCTTGCGATGAACTGATCCCCCGTCCAAGGAGTCCTACCGACTGTGTATAGGAGTAAGAAACTTAAAAAGCGACCAAGGTCAGACAATATGAATATAGACAGATAGCCTAGTGGTTCGAATAAACCTGGCTTGCCAAGTACTGCGTTCAGGTACACGCTTACTTTGCTCTTTAAGTGGAGCATCCTGTAGTTTATGAAGAAATGAGCGTCCTTGCTTAGAAGCGGAAGCACGCAGTGAACGGGGGCGAACGTGGGGGAGGGGTAAGCGTTGTCTCTGTTGACCAATACGCCTGCTGCAGAAGACTGGACTACGTCTCCAGTCAGTGCTAAAATTCCAGTCACTACTGAAGAATTGTTCCGCTAGTGCTCACGATGCAGTGCGTCTACATTGCTGTGTTCTGCATCCTGGCGCTCTCCATCCCAGCAGGCAAGTTCCTTGCTAGGATTCTAGATGCTTATAGCATTGTCGTGCAGAATAAATTTAAATTTAATTTAATTATTGCTGAAATTAAGTTTGTTTTTTTTAATTATTTATTCTTCTTCCTCTGTTCGTTTATTGTCTTTTTTTCGTTTACGTTTATCATTTCTTACATTTAACTTTCTCCAATTCGTTTTCCTCTTTCTTCCACATTTTCTTAATTGTTATTTTAGTTTTTTTATCCCTTCTTTGTTTCTTTTCTTATCTGTTCCTCCCTCTTCTTCAACATTTTTCTCAATAGTTCTGCTATTCACGGTCATATTCATTATTTACTACTTCGTTCGCGCATAAAGTTTACGAAACAGGGCACTTCGTGATGCGCGCTGTAACATGTAGCAGTACTAATGAAACTGACAATTTATCTGTTGCTCTTATTATCGTCTCGAAATTAGAATGTAATTGTTATTTTTCACAAATATTAGTTGAATATCTCGATTGATTGGCTAGAACGTTCGTTTGTATTCGAGGGACCCCGGGTTCGATGTAACGTCTGTCAGAATTTTCGACTCTTAAGGTAGAGAGAAACAACCTTCGTTCCTGAAGCTGGAGACAGCATGTTCCTACGAAACATTGGTAAATGATCTACTAAATCACACGTCATCATGTCATCACGTCTCAGAAGATAATTTAATCTTTACAGTCACCACCGTGAGGACCTCACATAGCCCATAATATAATCCTGTTAGCCTTCAAACATCAGAAATGTGACTGACAGTGTTTGCCGCGTTACCAACCCCCGTTTTTTTTCCTTGGCTTCGTGAAAACACGCTGACACTACTTTGCACCTTTAAATTTGAAAACTGCTCAGCGTTATACAAGATCTGTCCGTCCAATTTAAAATTTATAGAGAAAATGATCAACTTCTCAGCAAATTTGAAAAAATCCATTTGCGACTTTTCAGGCAGAATATATGTTCTGTAAAAGATAATTTTATTAAATACTTAGTAGTGGGCACTTAGTGGGGAACGTGGTAGTATAGTTGGTTGAGGCACTATGCTACAAGCTGGAAGGTCGCAGGTTCGATTCCCGATGAGGTTGATTTTTTTTTTCAATTGGCCTAATCCTTCCAGCCGCACTATGGCCCTGGCGTCGACTCAGCCTCTAACAGAAATGAGTACCAGGAATCTTCCTGGGGGATAAAGGTGGGCCGGCGCTTAAGGCTGACAACCTTATCGCCATCTGTGAGCCTTTTGTCTCGAAAATGTGGGAGCCTCGGCGTCTCACAGCCCTATGGGCCTCCACAGCCTGTTACAGGGATAATTTTACCTTATTTTGAAAGGTCCTACTGAACACGGAAGTTGCTTTGCGATACGGTTTCCAGTATATGGTTGTAAACCTGATGAAATTGAACAGGTGTTCTTGTATCGGTTATCAAAATCTCAGAGACCTAGAATGTGACACAGATTTCATCATGTTTGTATGTCTATAGAGTTACGTAAACCACTGTACGCTGCACCACATACCCAACCTCTCTACAGAAATGACTGTACATGACAGATGCATGGACAGACTCTAAGTTTCTTACCTCTCCCATGAATTTTATGTGCTATGGCGTCATCAGTTGCCGCACCCAATACATACGCTTTGAAGTAAGGTACATAAGCCTACGTAAAGTGACGTAAGTATCCTTGTGGTACCGCGCTCATGAATAACGCGCAGTGCTGAAGACAATAGAGAAGAACCACACGATCCTCGGTGAGTGACGGAGCAACTGGTCACGCCTGCCTGTATACATGTAGTCAGAAGGACGCCACGGTCATCAGTTTCAGTTGAATAATATGCTGGTCTGTGATGCATTCATTTAGCTCATATTAGTGATTAGCAAACTTTTATTTTGCCTTTACCATGTATGTTGGTCAATGATAGAAAAATATTCCAGTCGGGCCTTATGGACTTAAACGGTTTGACGACTGGGACCATGGGATCGAATCGTGCTCGGGGCATGAATATACACGAATGTTTCCGTGTCTCATTTTGTTGTCCTATAATAGACCGATTGTTTTTCTTAGTTGCTAGTGGGGTGGGACTAAGTGCCCTGTACTGCGGCCACTTCTGGCCTATTGTACCAGCCCCAGATGATAGGTGAGGGTGATTGTGGAGCAACTGGTGGAATGAAGATTGGCAAGGGAAACCGAAGTACTAGGAGAAAACCTGCCCCAGCGCCACTTTGTCCACCACAAATCCCACTTGACCAGACCCGGGATCGAACCCGGGCCGCCGTGGTGGGAAGCCAGCGACTAACCGCTTGAGCTATGGCGCGGCCTAATAGACCGATAGTCTTACTATAAACAATCCACTATTTCAGAATTCTTAATAATTGGACGAAGTGGTGAGCACTCCTGTTTAGTACCTGGGAGGTCATGAGTTCGAATCTCATTTAAGAGGCTAGCTATTTTAAACTTATTCGAGGTTTCCTCACACCCTTCAGGCAAATGCTGGATCCGTAACTTAAAATAGGCCACTTCAGCTTAGTACCACAATTTTCTAACTTCGTAATTCGCAATCAGCTTTCCGCTCGACGTTGTGTTACATAAGCGTGAAGCGTTTCCAGGATAATATCGTTATAATACTTCTATTAGACCTGACCGCATATTTAAAAATTATTAATTACCATTAATGACATCCTTCGTACCTATAATATTTATATTACCATCAACACAAATATTATTGATAGTGTATATTGTATAGTTTGTAGTAAAACCGAAATTAATAGCAGTGGGGATTCGTTGCGCTGACCACGTGACACCCTATATCCGCTAAAGTTGGCACTATCTTCGCCGACAAGCGGCAGTCGTTCGGTCGGTATAGTTCGTTCGCGGACTAAAGCCACGGAGTTTGTTTTTGTAGGGCATATAAATGTGACAATGTAGAGGAAATACAGTTAATTTCTGTATAATATACTTTGTGATGATATATGAAGATATACTGTATATAGGTTTAAAGAGAAGTGTATTCCTTGTGTATGAGTATATCTTGTTGGGTGTTTGTTTTGATTTTTTGTTTAGTAGGGCTAAAATTATTATTATAAAAACCGTATTAAAATAACATAAATTGTTATTAGTAACATTAAAACCTCTTAGTTTGAAAAATCGCCTTCAAGTAGTCGAATGAGCAGTTAAAAATTAAAGTCTTTATACGGATCAGCGTCTACTCATTAGTGAGTCTATATATAAGAATTAGATCAAGAGGAATAAAGGTTTCAGGCCAGAATTCGAATAAATTTCCCCCAAAATATGATGCGCGCCTGACATATTGCGCTATATTTTTAACGAAAATTACGAACGGCCAAAGAACAGTGGAAATCGTAGGAACAAATGAGATGAATGTTACGTTCAGTTAATACGCACAGAGGATTTGTCCAGGTGGATTTCTCCACAGTTTGCGTCATAAGCTCATATAATTACGTATATGTATGATGATCACGTAAAATCGACTGCAAAGCGCCCTACAGTCGGTGAAACCTATATGGAAACACATAAGATGTGTGACTTCACATGGTTACATTTAAGGAAGACCTTAATCTCAGGCTGGGTAAATAATTGAACAGTGTTTCCTGTAATTAAATGGAAACGCTTTGATGTACAGTCTGTAAGAATAACCGCACTGAGCAAGAGTGTATCTTGATAAGCTTCTAGTTACCTAGGTTACCATGAAATTCCCCACTCTTTATGGAACCTCAGTATTCATTATTATGTTCACAGGAGCCCACCGCTGGACTTTATCCTGAGTCAGCTGAGACAGTGCACACCATTAGGTGCCATTTATTTAAAATCATGTTATATAAAGTTCCATATATTTGCAAAAGAAATGGGGGTTGTCTTTAGTCTTGATACTTGACGTCATTGCATTTGGAATTTTACTGACGGTTCTGTAACACTCCGCGAGATGAGCTGGAATTGTTTTGGTCTGCTGAACACAGCCTTTGGGAAACTATTGCGTGTAGATGCAAGTATACAGGCTTAGCAGCAGTCAAGAAAGTAGTGTTCTGGGATGTGACACCGTGAGCTTAGTAGATAGATATGGACGCTTCGAAGGAATCTGCTGACTCAATTTTCAGAATAAGAAAGTGTCTCCTACTCCGGAAGGTGACATCATGTCCTGTAGATACGTACCAACATCTCGAAATATCCTACCACCGCCATCTTCAGATTAAAAGAGACTACTCCATTTAGAAGAGAGAGGTAGTGGGTTTCTTCAAAGGTCAGACGACACGGCATTACAATGAGAAAGAGTGTGATCTTACCATTCAGAGCCACCAGAATCTCAAATCCCTTCCAACAGGGCGTTCAACGGGAAGCAATAAGAGCCCATGTAAGCCTACATGAGAAATCTTTGCTTTAGCCCGGACTAGATCCATAAACACATCTTGACTAACGACAAGCTGGTAAAGTATTTTGGCGTGTAGACCCGTTGCTAAGCGGTCACTTTGTAAATAGCTACCGTTTTGGGCAACGACTCGGTAAATACGTTCCTGCGGCAACGAATACGAATACATCAATAGAGTTAGTGTTGGGAAAGGGGGTGTTTTCTATGTGTTCCATGCCGAGATGGTATAACCAGGACAGTTGGAACAATGTGCTCAGATGTGAGCCAGCGGGCGAAGATGAATCTCCATTGTTGAGAGCTATTGCCAAGCAACGATAGTTAAGAATATAAAAGACTGAGGCTTGGCGTGTGCTGTAGTGATTTGTAAAGTCTATAGCTGAACCATAGCGCTGTATAAGTATGTATAAGTAGTCAATAAATCCATTCACCAATCCAAACCCATCTACAATCACACCCCTACACGTAACAGTTTAATCTATTGATATTTCCCGAAGTGTCACTCTGACAATTACTTCAAACTTCTGTTTCTACAACAGCTGAATTTCTCTCAGCTGCACAGAACATCGTGCGTGTTATCTTTTATGGAGCTGTCAGAAGCTAAACTGAATCATGTTGAACGGTAGGGCAATAGATTAATTGGTAAGGATTTGGAAGAAGCCGTCTTGATCTTGTCGAGGCAAAATATCGAAATTTTCATGAAGGTACTGAGAGAAACCAATCCGCGAAAAAGCCTCGGTCGGAACAACTGAATTCCCGGCCGACATTTGAAACGAGCACCCTCTCCTCAGTACCAGCCTAGAGTGCTACCGCTACCGCTACGATAACCACTTCTGTGCCTACAGCTTTCTTAGTAACATTATAGGCCTGACGTTACGAAACCTGCAGTAATTAGTTTTTCGTTTCTCTCCGGATTATTTTTTCCTTTAAATTTTTCAACTTCGCTCCGTCTTGGGGAACATTTTCCGTGATTCAGTGAGTTCCTCTCTCCAGGGAAGTTAACCGCCACTGACAGAATCTCTAAATTCGAAGTATTCCGCTAAAAGTAGTGTGACCGGCGAATATGACAATCGCACACAAAGATGCAAGCTTCAGTTGTAATTCAAACTGTTAATCTCAGCAATTCTTTAGCTCAAGAAGATGCATACTCGTATTAAGTCACGCGATCATTTGGATGATAAGTCCTGATAATATATACACTATAATGTAATATAAATAGCAACTAGTGTTGAAATTGCGCTGTAAAACTGAGGAGTTAAAAGCACGTCAGGGCCTTTCAAGGGCGCTGTGTATTTGTCATAGGTAGAGTGTGAAGTAAGATATACATGTAGGAGTCCCTACCTAAGCCTTCGGTAGCATTACGTGTTAATTCTCCTTCCGAAAGTGAGATCTTACTGTGGCCTTGCACGTAGTATTGACCAATTAGATTCGCCAGGCTCATGTATAACCTTCAGTTCTGTGTGCTTTTTTTTAATTTTCATATCTGTAATTCTGGGCGTTACAACGGAACTGGAATGGAATCGAACAATTTTTATTTACGTGACGAAATTAAGACTATCTTTCGTAACCACCGACAATTTTACACATGTTGCCTCTAGCAGCTGTAACTGACTTTCATTAACAAACTAAAGAACGCTCTGATAACAGAACTCAAAAGGCAAGATCGCTAAAGCCGAGAATCGATTGTGCGCTGCTGCCGCGCGAGGCAATGTTCGTTGCTTTGCCTCGCAAAGTTATATACTATGTTGCCGCGCGCAGCAGAACGAACACTGCCGCGAACGGACTTGGTGCGTGTCGAGCCAAATCGGAGCGGTTCTTTGTCCCGTGACAAAAGGATTTGAGTGTGCTGTGCCCTTTTAGTTGAGACGGTCTTGTGGTGTTCAGAGAACTGAAGAACAGCGTCGATCAACAGCCGCGGCTGCTGCGCTTCGATGCTGGACACGAACACGGTAAACAAACGAACGAATTTACCGCGTACGAAGAGGCGCTCGCAATCGATACCCAGCCTGATGCCAGTGACTACCATTTGACACGAACCTGAGGTGATTCCACCCATTATGACCCCCACAGATTTCCTCCTCGAGTTACGTAATATAATCCTCCAACCTCTTGTAGGTCTCCCAAGAGCCTTCACCGTTAAAATTAAATGTGCAATCTTTGTTTCTCCATCGTAGCTAGAAAGGTATCGTCATCGCCTCTATGAAGATAACTATCGATAAGTTAATTTGATCCCTTACTCCAATAAGAATCTCTTCCTAAAGGCAGTTCGTTATGAAGCAACAGTTATTCTAGTGAAAAATTATGATCGCATATAGATCCCGAATTACGTTGAACCAGGAATTAAAATATTTTATTATTGTCAATATAATTTTCCTTTGGGCTGTTGAGTATGCACGTAAATAAATAAAGAATAATTATTTCCTGCAGTTATCGGAATCGATAGCCTGCTCTTCCCAACTGACAGTTCTTCGTTTTATCGATTCTTTTATTTGATTCTTCGTTTCTTCTCTCTGCGCTTTCCATTGGATCTAGAGCACAGATAGGACTTACTTTCGAGGATCTTATACTTCAAGATCATTCTGATTTTCCCAGTCGGTATAGCGACTGGCTAAGGGCTAGACGATCCAGGGATCGGAGTTCGAGTCCCGGCGGTGGCAAGAATTCTCTCTCCATCAAGTCGTCCAGACTGGCTCTTGTGTCCACCCAACCTCCTATCCAATGCATACCGAGGGCTCATTCCCTGGGAGTAAAGCGAAAGGGGCGTGAAGCTAACCACTCACCTCCAACTAGTGCCGAGATCAAGAAAATGTGGATCTATACATCCACTCCCCCATACGCCTTCATGGCGTAGTGCTTAATTGGTTAAGCACAGGGACAACTTTACATTTTCCCACTTCACCTCATACTTCTAAAACAAAGCTCCAGTGATCAAACAATCATCGTATAAAAGCTTAATCTAATTTGGGGAAAATTTTAAATGTGTTACGACTTGTAACTAACAATTCATAATTTTAAGAAATGTCTGTAATACATGTACAAAATGCTTAACCAAATCAGGCTTATATTTTAACTAAAATGTTTTATTCTCTCTTTCGAAAGTCGGTCTATACGACTGTGGATTTTAATTGATTAATCGACGGAAGAAAAGCAATCATTAACAGAGAATGATGCCCAGGCTATAGACAACATTGAGGCAGACGTAGGTATGTGTTTCCTAAAAGTGTGGGTGACTAGAAACAGATTAATTTCTGGGATTGCTTACTATCACTCCACTCAGAATATTTTGTTTTCCATTGTGCCATATATAAATATGAAGACTTAATTATTATGAACACTATACATTGTTTTGGTGGAATGAAATTTATGTATTTTGGGAATTGCTACAGTTACAAACATGAAACAATTAGAAAACTGCAAGGAAACTCGTTAAGTTTTCGTTGGTAACGTTGATTATAACATATCAGTCACGAGAGGCGCCCCGATCACAGTCAAAAGAATTGGCGTCTCAAATGCAAAAGTCGCACTGTTGCGTGTGGCAAGAGAGTAGGGCCCATTCCTTGGCCACCTCGATCGCCGGACCTTACTCCATACCGCTTATACTTACAGGGATGTGTGAAAGACCTTCTATACCAACCTCCAATGCCAGGGTATTTTCGAGAACTTTGAGAGCGAATTCTACAGGCTATAGTTAGAATCAATGAGTCACAGATGCGCCGTACATGGGAAAATTAGAATATTTCATTAACGTTTGCAGAGTCAATAGTGGAATATATATCGCAAATCTGGAGACGAGATTTACGAGTTTCCATGCTGTTTTCGAGTTGTTTCCATTTTTATCTGTATCCTTTTCGAAAGTACATTCATTTCTTTTTTATTATTATACTAAACTGTGATTTCCTTTAGATTTTGACAGATGTGAATGACGCTCTCTCAGATTAAGTGAAGAACACAATTCAAGGAACAATGTGGCTGTTTTTTAACTGTTACGTCGTTTTAAGCTTTTCCAACACGTCTCGGAACCATATTTGTTTCTGCTATCATCAAGTGTCATGGCGTAAGCACACAATCCAGTAGGAAACTTGAATCCCTTACACCCGCTGACGGAAATAGATCCAGTTTCCTGAGCGCTGTGTTGGAAAAGATTCAAGACTAGGGACAATGCCCAAAATAATGGCCATATTTATTGTAAAACGACGTCTTGAGAAACTTAGCATAGACTGAGGGTATTTGAGAACAGGTTTATTAGAGAATATTTGGACCTAAAAGAGAGGTTTTCATGACAGACTGGAGTTGACTGCATAATCAGGAGCTTCGTAATTTCCACTCCTAATCAAATCAGTCTTGTCAGGATGAAGAAATTAAGAAGAATGAGATAGACGGGACCCGCAGCACACGTGGGATAGATACAACACACTATAAGAAATGTATTCGGAAAATCTGAAAGGAAGATACCTCTTCGATGGGAGTATAATATTAAATTGGTCTTAAGGAAATAGGATGGGATAATGTGGACTGGATTCATGTCATTTAGAATAGGGAAGAGTAGGGAGCTCTATGGTTCTGATTCTTAAAGTGTTGGGAATTTCTTAACTAGCTAACTTAATATTACTCGTAATTTATTAATAAAGATATTACTTTATGGAGTTGGGAGATAGGATAGCTCAGTTGGTATAGCGACAGGTTACTGGTGGGAGGCCAAGGTTCAATTCTCGGCAGGGTCAAGAGACTTTTCTTCTCTCCACGAGGTTCATCCAGCCTCCTATCAAATGAATACCGGGGTCTCTCTATCCGCGGGGGTAAAGCGGACTGGGTGTGAAGCAGACCACTCACCTCCATCTAGTACCGAGTTCAAGAATAGCCATACCCCCCCCCCCTCCACGTCTTCATGGCGTGGTTCTTAATTAATTAAATACAGGGACAAATTTACATTACCTTTACCCATTGACTTAGTAAAATATTAGTGTCTATATAAAACACTTTAATGTAGTTGTTCATTTTTAGACTGTAGTCTTCTGGGTTGAGACGCCGTACAGACTGATACGTTGTTACGATCGTTTCGGAAGAACCTGTTGCTTCATCTTCTGTGTGGAAATGTTTACCTTGAAAATGGAAGCAGCGTGTTTTGCCGAAACGTTTGTAACCTACCATACTATACGGTGTCATAACTTAGAATACCACAATGTAAATCTTCACCATCGTGAAAGCCTCAAATCTTATACGGCTAGGTGATGTTCACAGGAACCGGACTGAGGTGTTGGAGCTGTTCTTCGAGTGTAGATCGCCACTGCGGGGATCCGTTCAACAGTACATTCTTCCATATGAGTGACTGCGACAATCACCAGTCCCCCCATCCATACAGTCAGCGCTCCGCCCCTGTCTGCAAGAAGTCGAAACAGACGGGTAAGTAAACCCACGCGACCAACAGTACGACAAGAAACAGCACATCCACTGACAAATACACGTATTTTCTAGCTAAACGCCTATGTATAACACAGTCCGTCAATAATGCAACAAATTGTTCCTTCTACTTCCACTTTTACTTTTAACACAATATGTTTCTGCCTTAGATGGCCATCTTCAGGTGTCTTAATACTTTAAATCTGCTACACTGCATTAATATGCGCTAAACTCACACGATGTAGTCCACTTAATAAAATAAAATAAAATCCATTACAGTTTTCATTATTTTGGTGAAATTCTATTCCACCTCACAAGGGGGTGCCGTCAAATTGTTTACCTGTTATTCTGTTACATCTGCAATCTGTAATATGCCCCTTGCTTGTGCGTTGTTCCCTCAAGCAGCGAGTGGTGTTGTCTTCGCTAGTCTTCACAGATTGCAGACGTAATAGAACAATGGGATAACGAGCATAAAACAACAAGCTGCTGCAACAAACACCTGCAGATAAACATATAGCTCTAAGCAAATGGACGACACCCCTTGTGAGGTGGAATCGAATATCACCAAGTAATGAAAATTTTAATAGAAAATTTGAATGGATTTTATTTTATTTTATTACGACCACCTCTGTGGTCTAGTGTTCAGCGTTCCTGATTACAGATCCAGATGTCCGGGTTCGATCCCCTGCGCTATCAGATTTGTTTCGGATAAGTAGTGGGTCTAGAACGAGGTCCACTCAGCCTCGTGAGGATAATCGAGCTATTTCAAGGAAACAGCGGCTCCGGTCTAGAAAACCGAAATTAACGGCCGAGGGGATTCGTTGCGCTGACCACGCGACACCATCTATCAGCAAAAGTTGACACTAAACTTCGCCGACAAGCGGCGGTCACTCGGTCGGTATAGTTCGTTTGCGGACTAAAATCTCGGAGTTTTTGGTTTGTTACTAAGAGGACTACATCGTGTGATTCTAGCATATATGAATGTGCAGTGTTTCAGTTTTAATATATTAAGACACCTGAAGATGGCCATCTGAGGCCGAAATATATTGTGTTAAAAGTGTAAGTGGAAGAAAAAGAACAATTTGTTGCATTATTGACGGACTGTGTTATACATAGACGTTTTAATATGACTTGCAACAAGATGCTTAAATACAGAATTTCTAGCAAAAGTCTGCAAACGTTTGCGAATCATAATTCTCGAAGAGGGAGTGTACAGCCTACAATGATAAACGTTTGCTTATATTGTATGTGTGAGTATGTATACTTATCCATGCTGCAAGTAATATGGCTCCAGAAAATATAATTGCAAGCACCGCATTTTGAATTTATGTATTCATTAGTAAAGGAAGAAAGCGGATTTCCGGTTTCACATTCTTTCAAGAAGCGAAATAGCTTTGATTTTTGGCTGATATAAGAGTGTTAAAAAGCATTCGGGGGTGTTCTCAGAAGATTTTGAAGCTTTGATTTCACCAATTGGTCAGCAAATGTAAAAAGAACCGAACTGTAGACAGGAAACAGGCAAACTCTGTGAAAGAAACCCACACTCGAGATGGAGTGCCCATTGACTACGAACAGGCAAGAAATGGCGTAAAACGTAAATCCCCTTGAACTACCGACTCCATTCAGGACACGCTTGTTCATGCGTGGTGAGCCTTGTTTGTACCCATTTACGTATCTCCACTTTTTTTTTCTTTTCATTAGCAATTTGTCAACATTTTGCTCTCTCAATGCTACGCAGCTGTACAGATATATATATATATATATGAATACCCTGAATTATTCGGACGTATGGGGCAGAATTTGACTGTAAAATATCGGTCACGAAAACAAAGCAGTTGCCTTTAAAGAAAACAAAACAACCGACTGAAAAATAGATGTTCTTAAACTAAATTATGGAACATCTTTCACATTTTAAGCACTTTGGATCTTATTTTTTTTTAGAAGGCATGGTAGAAGCATAAAATACATAGATATAAATGAGTATGTGAGAGGAAAAACAGAATTTTGAACTACGTGAAGAAAAATGGAAGTTAAAATTGTGTATTATAAGGAAATGAAATCTGAATTATCAAGAACAAATTGTTCATTCATTCATCAATGGCACTGCAGCCCTTTGTTGGGACCTGGTCACTTCTTCGGTTTCGTAATATTTTTTACACAGACTGTAGGACTCCTCCGACGAGGGATCAGCTCGCCGCAAGGTCGCTGTCTTCACACAAGGTAACATAAACACAGAATAAACGCACACAGACATCCATACATTGAGTGGGATTCCAACCCAAGACCCCAATGTTCGAGCGAGAGAAGACAGCTTATGCCTTAGACCGCGCAGCCATCTTTGTCGGCGAACAAAATATTAGATACAGAAAAACTCTAAATATTTTCTGGCCAATGCACACATACGGTTATGTTAAAGTCACATTTGTAAATACCCTGAATTGCTTAAGAACTACTACAGGAATGTATCGATCATGTTGGTACAATAATGTCTTGTCCTGCAAGTATGCAACACTGGCGAAGAACGCCTTCTTTAAAATGGTACGTAATTATAAATACTTAAAATGAGCATGTAAGGTTTGAGATTTTCACGGCGGTGACTATGAGGAAAGCAGTCTTCTTGGATGTGGCGCCGTGTAGATATTGTGTTAACCGACGTTTCGGAGGGACGTAGCACCTGCTCAAGCTGGTTCCTCGCTCTCAGATTTTCTTCTTTTTTCTTCTACTCTGAAGATGGAGGCGATACGTTCCTCCAAAACGTCGATTAACACAATATCTACACGGCGACACATCCCAGAAAACTGCTTTCTTCTTAAAATGAGCCTGTTAAAGATGGCCACTCATAGTTACCATTCCCTTCCACCGTCAATCACAATGGCTTAGATTTGATCATCTGTGCTTAAAAAGAGTGGTAAGAACTCGATTATTAGGGTCAATATTAATTATAGGCCCTCTTCTTAGAGAATGCAATGACTTACACTACTAGGAAATAGAAAAGGAAAATCATCGTCACGTGTCCTCAAAACATATTCTCACTATTTTAAAAACGTGCTCAACATACTCAATTTCATAGAAAGGACTCTTATACCTGTAAATTAAAGTCTTAATTAGAACTGCTGGGCGTGCCATAGCTCAGGCTGTTAAGCTCTGGGTTCCTACTATGACAACCCAGGTTCTAACCCAGGTCAGATCATGTGGGATTTGTGGTGGGCGAAGTAGCAGTGGGGAGGGCTTCCTCTGAATACTTCGGTTCCCTTGTCAAATCCCATTACACTAACTGCACCACATTCATTAAACAACGTTGTATAGTCTCAGTGCTGAAAATGTCGTTAAATAACCAACGTCATATGTTGTCTCACGGTTTGATAAAAGAATGTTACCTCATGTCAGGTGGTTAATCTTTCGTAAACGTGTAGAGCCGACGTCTTAATTTTCTATTTACGCCTTGTTACTCCTCAAGCACGTTCAAGGACATATCACACAATCGAGATTTTGAGGATAGATCCTTTTCCGGTCTCTTGTACCTGTCACCTCCCACCCCGCCGTCAGACAGAAACGAGAAACGCAATACACTTAGGTAACAAAAAATGAACACAGTGCTCAGGGAAATAAAAAAGCTTAATAACAATTCTGCTGTTTATGTATAATAAATGTGTGAAGAAAAACGTTTGTAACGAGAGAAAGCGTTGCGTTTCCATTCGCATATCGCAAAGTACCACGAGACTCCCTCCCGAATTATCGGAGTAACCTTCTGTTGGAAGAAGTTCTCGTCAATAAAGTCTGCTGACTGGAGAGCTGGGATTTGATTCCTTTTTCGAGCGTTGGGAATGTTCTCTTCATGATCATGCCTGGGCCCTTTTGAACTTCATATCAAAATTTGGGTTATGTCCCGGAAGGTAAATTTGCCACAGAATGAAGCTAACTACTTGCACTAGAATTTCTTGGAGACTATTATTATTATTATGGCCCCACAACCCTTTGTTGGGCCTTGGCCACTTTTTCAGTTTATGAATCCTATACACGGTCTGTAGGACTCCTTGGACGGGGGATTAGCACGTCACAAGGCTTCTGCCTACACACAGGACAACACAAACACAGAATAAATGCACACTGGAGACACGCATGCCTTGAGTTGGATTCGAAACCACGATTCTAGCGTTCGAGCGAGCGAAAACAATTCATGTCTCACAACGCTGAGCCACTGTGGTTGGTCTTGGAGACCAGCATACACCATGCAAAATGGATCTTCTGACGAAATTTAAACACGAGATGATGAAGTTTACAAACAGAATCTACTTTTATCATCCTCACGTGTCATTTCCAGTAACATAAAAAATATCTTAGAGGAGAAACAGATAAGTTGTTTAACAAAAGTGAAGGTGTGCTTAATTAATTACCATACATAAGGAGGGGTGGAAAAATCCATAATTTCTTCAATTCAGTTACTAGTTGGAGGTGATCAGTCAGTTTCAAGCCCCAGCTGCTTTAATCCATGAAAAATCCCCACCACCCCTATTAAAATTGCCGCTGAGGCTGGTTGTTCCTCAGAGCCGGACGTCATGGCAAAGAGAAAAATTCTGCCCAGCCTGAAATCAGACTCCAATTCTGCGGTCGTCCAGCTCATAGCATATGCATTATAACTGTCTGAGCTATTAGGAAATGTTGTTAATTCCCAAATCCATATTTTACACACACATACATACATCACACTTGTATACCTGATCTGACAGTAAAGTTCGCGAACTTATCGTAGTAAAAGTGCTACATACCTCATTACTGAATATCACTGTGGTCGTCTTCGAAGAGCTCCCCTTGGGAAGCTATGCACCGATGCCAGCGCCTAGTCCATCCTTCAAAACAATATTGGAACTGGTTTTGTGATATGGCCTTCAGAGTTGCGGTGGTATTATTCCTGATGTCATCAATGTCATCAAAATACCTTGCTTTCAATATTCCTTTGTCTTCGGTAACAGAAAAAGTCACTGGAGACTAGATCCGGAGAATATGGGGGGTGTTCCAGCACAGTTATTTGTTTACTAGCTAAAAACTCCCTCATAGACAATGCCTTGTTGCATTGTCGGGATGCAAGACACAAAAACAGACTCGGACAATAATAGACGCCATTCAGAAAGAGATTGCCACCGATCAACAGCAACACAACTGTGAGACGCTGATATGCTAACGTCTTCAAACCATACTGAGGTTTCTGTCCACTGCTGCCACGGCAAACACAAGATGGCTAGTTCGCGAACTTTATAGTCAGACCTCGTACATAACAAAAAAAAAAAAAACTCCGTGGCTTCAGTCAGCAACCGAACTATACCGACCGAGCGACCGCCGCTTGTCGGCGAAGTTAGTGTCAACTAACATGACATGTGCACAAATATACATGTACGCCATTACATCCATTCATTGAACAGGATAATTTTACATTATGCTTATAATACAGAAAAAAAAAAAGGTTTTTTATTTTGTTCTCATTTCGTGTTTCAGCTAATGGACATGAGATGATCATACGGTCCTGTGAGTATAATAGGGAAAATCCATGTCTCCCTTCGTCTGGGCATTCATCCATAAGGGAAGTGTTCTGCGAAACGTGTACCGTTGATGGCTGCAATAGTGCTCACAGACTCACATCAGTCACACTGACGGCCCTCCTGCCGTCTGCTTTGTGGACACTTGCTGCTAAGTTTCTCTGAATTTCCCTATACTACAATTGGAAGTTAAGAAAATATTATGACATATAAATATTATAAGAGAAAAAAACTTCTGTTATACTACAAGTGACTCTTTAAAACTGTCAATTTTTAGAAAAAAGTCAAACCAAACTACATAGTCGACTAATAGTACGCAGTATCAAATTATGAGCAAAATTTAGCAAAGAAAATGATAATATAATTTTTATTCCGTAAATTTATGACGTGATTGAACTATATAAATTCACGGAATCCTTGATACAAAGATTTATTTTAATTTTTATGGCACCTTCTTTGTAAAATCGCATTTCGATCAAACAGAATTTAAGGTGTATATTATCCTATTAAATCACTCTTCAAACCGAAAGATGCACATACCCTTTGAGAAGCATGAGGTACGTGCTGTTGGACGTGGGACACCACTCCTTGAGGATGCTGTTTCTTCGCCGCTTAGATTGCATATGGCAAAATCTAAAGCATATTTCTCATAGAAATGTGCTCTGTGATAACAGAAGTCCAGATGTTGGTAGGGAAGCAATAAGGATAAACGAAATGAAATTATAAATGCAGAGTTGAAGTCTCTGACGACATTTGAAAGAAGCAATGGTACGTCAAGATACCACGGGCCACTATTCGGGAGACACTCTGTGAAGGGAACAGACACTTTACCTAGATACGTTCCAGAAAATTTTCATAGATTAACCATGTTCTTGTCGAAGAAGATTAAATTCCAATCGTACACATTACTGATCTGACCATATTTTGTCTACTTCTAACTCCAATTAAGTTGTACAATGTCATAACACGTTAATTATTTTAAGTAGAGTATTTTTGCAAAAGTTATTAATCTCACCGTAGAAATGTAACTGTAAATTAAACTAAAGTACCGTTAATAGTTAACGTAGTACAAGTCATCGAATTTTTCAAAGAAGTTATAACAACTTCATTTATATCATGTGTCCGTCCATTTGTAGGTGTTAGAAAATGCTTTTTGAACACTTTCTCTTAATATTACTGATTGTGTAGTTAAGTATTCTGTATTATAGTTGAAAAAATGTAATATAAAGAAAACTATGTAATTATTCTAATAAAACACACTCAATTTTATTCTGCCTACCACTTCAGCCTGAATTACTCAATTATATGTCCTATATTCTGTATTATAGAATTGTTTGGCGCCGAGCGGATGTCAAATAAACAGTCGACGAACCAGCGTCTGGAGATTGCTCCGTAATACATCTGATTTTGTATCAGCAAACTGAATGCAGAACCTAACAATTTCAACCCCATTTCGTAATATTTGCCATCATCAGAAGAAAATACTGTGCGTATAAGTAAAGATAGAGGTAAAGTTGTCCCTGTGTTTAACTAATTAAACACTATACCATGAAGGCGTATGGGGAGTGAATGTATAGATCCACATTTTCTTGACTTCGGCGCTAGTTGGAGTGGTCAGTTTCACACCCCAACCGCTTTACCCCTGGCGAACAAGACCACGATACCCATTGGACAGGAGGTTGGGTGGGCCCCAGAGCAGGTCTGGACGACCTAGAGAAGAGAAAACTCTTGGCTCTACCGGGACTCGAACTCCGACACCTCGGTCGTTCAGCCCGTAGGCAGTCTCTATACCTACTACTCTATCCCGGCTTCCAAAATAATGTGCATTTCAATTGAAATATGCATATTTTAGGAATGAGTTCATTATGATTTTGTGTAAATTAATGGACTCGAAAGCAATTCATTGCAGAAACAAATAGACTGTGGCAGAATTTAATGAACAACGCGGATGCCATACAGCGCAAAGGCAATGAACAATACAAATTTACACCGCACAGGAAATTTATTATTGAAGGTATTTGTAGTCTGGTATGTAACGCCGTTTAATCTGGATTACTCCTCGGTCGTCCAGCCGGTAGCCAGTCACTCTACAGACTGAGCTATCCCGGCTTTTAAAGGTAAAGCTATCCCTGTGACAGGTTGTCAAACCCATAGGGTTGTGAGATGTCGAGGCTCCCACATTTTCTAGACAATCAGTTCGCAGGTGGAGGTGAGGTTGTCAGCCTTACGTGCCTGCCGCCCATTACTTCCAGGAAGATTGCAGATACTCATTTCTGTTAGAGGCTGATTCGACCCCAGGGTCATAGTGCGGGCGGAAGTTATAGATCAAATGAAAAAATCCAGTTACCTCAGCGGTATTCGAACCCGCGGCCTTCCGGCTTGTAGAATAGTGCCTCAATAAGCTACGCTACTTCATTTAGTATGGAATGAAAAATACTTGATTTATAAGTTTCCTGAACTTCGTTGGCCCAAAAAGTTTTTCTCCTCCCCCATAATCACCCACGGAGATGTTGCCTATGTTGTAGTAGTTCATGGTGGGTCTTGCTTCACGGGTTCTGACCTTAGATCGCTTTTCCTGGGAGTTCCAGTTGGTTACGGCGCTCAATGTATGATGCGCATTTTTCCCATGCAAGTCTATTCCGTTGTACTTGGGCTTCAAAATCGGAACCCATCGGGTCTTTGCAGAATTTCATGCATATTCATGTCTCCCTTATTTGTCTGAACATCCCTTATTCTCCCACCACTACACGTAGTACTACGTAGCGAGAAAAGCACGTGTTCGTATTTTAGGTTTCTTGTGTCTTTTTATTTGGGCGAGAGTAAGATTATGTGATCATTGTGTGCATCTGTGGCTTGCGTGTTTATGTCGAGTGAAACGCCTGTAATAGGAATACTCCAGAAAGTGTGGAGTCAACCCGTGTTGATATTCAGTTCGATCTTGGTTTTTCTTTGCACCTTGTTGATGTGGACAGCTTTGCCGGCAGTTTGAAGTCCTTGTTGCCTCCATCGTCAGGGTACTGGCCCCTCAATATGGAGGTAGTTGTACCTTCGAAGCATCCGAATACGGCCTACATGCACACGATAGACAGACCCAATAGCACAATCAACGCCAACAATGAACCATCGTCATGCCCTAAAATCGTTAACAGAGTGCAGATCTATTCTGGGGCCCACTCAGCCTCCTATCCAATGGACACTGGAGACTCTTTCCCTGGAGGTAAAGCGGCCGGGACATGAAGCTGACCACTCACCTCTAACTAGTACCGACGTCAAGAATACGTGGATCTATACATCCACTCCCTCATACCTGTTAATGGCGCATTGCTGAATTAGTTAAGCACAGGGGCAGTCGGTCGCGTCATAGCTCAAGCGGTTAGTCGCTGGCTTCATACTGCGGCGGGCCGTGTTCGAGCCCGGGTCCGGTCATGTGGAATTTATTGTGGACAAAGTTGTGCTCGGGTAGGTTTTCTCCGAGTACTTCGGTTTCCCCTGCCAATCTTCATTCCACCAATTGTTCCACAATTACCATCATCTATCATCCGGCGCTGGTACAATAGGCAAGTAGTGGCCACAGTACCAAGTCAGAGTCGCGTAAATCTTTGTTACTATATTCATTTAAGAACTTAGAAGAAAGATGAGAATGCTATAGTCAATTCTGTCCCGGTGAGTGATGGAAACAGCGCATTTTTAGTTTCCTACACATCCTTGCTGAAACACCTATAAAAGTGTTTGTGTATCAGGGATTTTGCACGATGAAAGTGTGGGGGGGTAGAGGACAAAGATGAACCTAGCGGAGTTCGAATCTATCCAGCCCAAGGGGACTTGCATTTCTGCCAAGAGGAGTCCTGTGCTCAACGGTAGGAAATAGAGGGTTGCTGCCTCTTTGTTTGAAGTGTTCTTCTCAATATGAGATAAAATTTCTAAAATAGAGTACTGTGTAACGTACGGAGTAAACTCTTAAAATACGAATATATAAGTAAAAACATCCTTAAATATAAAGATTGGAGGAAGTGGTAAATTTTATTTGTTCTTGGCCCCACCTGTTCGGATGGTCATCAGCCGCCACCGAGAAAAGCTAAGGTTCTTTAATATGACGGATCATACCTAAATTTAACTGTGACTCTTATGGGGAAATACCTCCTTATGCTTGAGTTACACTAGTATATAGTGGTACAGGCTTTCAGAACAAAATTGCGTTTGTTCTGATAACAAGCTATAGAAAACAAATTGTATTTACACATTTTCTCCTGTACGAAGAACACATGTGAATTCTAGTGTAACCGACAAGTACGGTGATATTCACAGCAACCTACATGTAGAAGTCTGCAGACGATTTAAAGATGTTAAGGAATCAGAAAATTGAATTCATTGCGTGACGTTGCGTTTCACCATTAATGTGGAAAAAGTTCCAGTAATCTTGGGCCTGAACTGATTAGCCTACAGCGTGGCAAAACACCAACAGTAAAGTTCAGTTGTGTGCAGCTTGCCGAACTTCTTATTGTTTGGAGGGGGGACTTTTGGGCTGTGATTGCAATTAAAACAATTTCAGAGACTGGAGAAAATACAATATATCAGTTCTTTGTGTTCACTCTCAACTGCGAACAAACTCCCTTCTTAAATGAAATTTAGTAAATCAGATTTAAGAGTACGGATTGCCGTTGAACATTTCTTTGACAAAAGGATTACTTGGGGATTACAAGCAGAAATTATCGAATCCAAGGTCTTGAGTTCATTCCCTTTTCAAAAGTAGGAGAAATTAAGCTCAGACATGAACTGTCCTTCCCTAAAGGACTGACTAGGTCAAGAGTGAGTTATGGTTGCCTCTCCTGAGAATTTTCGGCAGACACACTTGTACTGAAATTTCAGCGCTTGCAAAACAAAGATCGCGCAAATGACAGTTTTCCAATTTGGCGTGGATCAAGTTTACAACCTGTTTAGTAATCCGTGATCCATATCACCTATCTGCTGAGCGAGTCTGTAACATTGGGGCGTGGCGCAGTTCATGGGCGTCGGTGTCACGTGATAGGGACAAGTAATGGATGTTGTATTTGAACTACGAAGGACTGGAATTTGTGTTGTACATTTGTTTATTTTTAATATATAAACAAATATGGCAGCCAGCTCGTGTTGTTTATTATTTATTGTTGCAGTGATATTGTCAATGGCAATTGAAGGAGGTAAGCAGTGGATTAGGTTGTATAAGATTCGTGAATTTGTAAAACACAAAAGAATGCGTGGAATTGTTACGTGGATCCAGTAAGTATAGCCGCTGTAATTTGTGTGGTAGCTATTGCTTTTCATCGTATACATCCATTTCGATATAATTTATGACCCATGGTCATATTTTGATGATAAGTGTTTTGTTATATTTTCTGAAGTGTTTTGAGGTTAGGACATATCGCGGAACTGCACGTATTTGAATACGCCGTTAGGGAGGTCAGAGAAAACCAGGTGTGATTGAAATTAAATGGGACATGTCAGCTTCTGGTCTGTGCTGATAATGTAAATCTATTTGGAGGTAACGTAAGTGCTGTAAAAAACAGTCTCTGATTAACTCTATTAAGGAGGTTAGCCTAGAAGTAATAACAGAGAAAGCTAAATATATCTTGATGTCTTGTCACCAAAATGCAGGGCATAAGCAAAACATAAGATAGCTAATAGATCCTTTAAAGTGTGGCAGAGCCCAAGTATTGTGGAATGACAGTAAATCGAAATTTGATTCATGAGGAAATTATTAGCAAATAGAATTTGGGTAATGCTTGCTACCATTCAGTTCAGAATCTTGTTTCATCTCTTCAGCTGTCTAAAAAGGTAAACTTTAATATATATATATGTAGATGTACAGTTTTGCCTGTAGTTATGTATTGGTGTGAAACTTGGTCACTGACATTAAGGGAAGAACATAGTGTGTCTGAGAACTGGGTGCTGAAGTGAATATTTTTTATATTTTATATTTCATTTATTCACCTTCCATAAATCCTGTCGAGAGTACATTCTCATGCGGATATGGAGATCGCCCTTGTTACAGTCACAACTAAGGATTACAGTTGTCATATTTGGATTGAAGAGAGATGAAATAATAGGAGGCTGGGAAAAGCTCACAATGAGAAGCATCATGACTAGTACTCTTTGTAAGAGATGAGTCATGAGGCTTCACGTGGATAGGAGGTATTTGTGGGAAAGCCAGAAGAGACTGCTAGGAAGACTTAGATGATGTGGGAGAATAGTATTAGGATGAATCTTAGAGAAATAGGATGGACTGGACTGGATTCATCTGAAACAGGATGAGGACCAGTGGCAGGCTTTTGTGAACACGGTAGTGAACCTTAAGGATTCATGAAATGTTCTGAAATTCTGAGTAGCTGGTCAACTTTCGGCTTCTCAAGAAGGATTCCATTCCATGGAGTGAGTGAGTGAATTAGTTGTGCCACATACATGTGCAAGTTGTACAAATGAGAAATGCAGGCTGGTAAGTTAATTGCCAACAGCTCTTCTTCGCAGTTCTGTGAAATAGGTATTTGTATATTTAATTTCCTACATTTCCAATTCATTCGTGAAGCATTAAATACAAAATTTGTAGATTTCATATACATACAGTCTGACCTTCCAACTTCTTTCATTCTTGAAATTTTGCAGGAGATCTTGTAATTTTCCTACCTCTTGCAATGATAAATGTCCTAGAGGATGTGAAACCCTGTTGCTTAGTAGATAGGTACATATCTGCGAGACTAAATAGCATCAGATCCCAGAAGGCTGTCATCTTCCTAGATAATTATGTCATTTATACAGTGGTGATCGCAATCCACAGTATAAGAAACAAGTAATTCGAGGTTCAGGTAATGCTTTGCAACAGTTCTGGGAACTGGTAACTGTATGCTAGTCACCTGAATTTGAATTATGGTTAGTAGAACTAGCATACACCACACTAATTTCATGCAACTGATTACTTTATTATAAAGATATGACATGCAGGATGGCACTTGAGCCATCTGGTTAATTACTATTTAATATACTAAGTGAACGTTCTCAGGGAATAATACAAGGGTAAGTCACTAAGTAAGTTACAAATGGATGTAGAACTTAAACAAATAAGAGTACTGTCCATGATTTATTCTGACCGTCTTACAGTGCACACATTTATTCACCTCACTATTCTCTCTTGCACATTCGTCACATATAATGATAAATTTTAAATATTAAAACTGTTCAGGATTTGTCATTCTTATGTCGTATCTTAATACGTGAGTCACGCCTATCTTCTTCTATCGGAGTATTCTTCCTACTTTCATGTGTGTATTGTGCTTTGTGTTGTCTTGCTCCTGTGACTGTGTGTGTTATAACATTCACATTGTGCATGGCACCCATCGTGCACAGAATTTGTGAAAACCTAACCTGTCATGCATTATGCGGTAGGCCATGCCGTGTGAACACGCCTGGTTCTGACAGTAGGCCAAAGAATTTTATGCTGCTAGTTTTCAGGGACTTGTGAAACGATGGGAGAAGTGCCTCAGTGTACAGGGAGATAATGTTGAGAAATAAAGGCATTTTTCAAATTAGTACTCTTTATTTCTTTAAGTTCTATATCCATTTGTAACTTACTTATTGACTTACCTATGTAGCTTTGCTTTAGCCAGAATGGTAGGAATACATAGAGCTTTATCTCCATGTTCCAGGCAATGTAAATTTTACTAGTATTTAATATACCACAGAGTTTGTATTCTTACCTCTGTTTTGGTTTTATCATCACTTCTTGTAAAAATTTTGTTAAAACAATGTTCCGAGTGAACTCTTGTGTTCTTGAAAATAGCTGGCATTCCTTTCACATCAGAACTCTGAGAACAGAGGGTACTGTGGACTATGAGATAATTGAACTTCAGCAGAAATAAGGTACAAAAAGTGTAACAAATTATAAATGTAACAAGGGCTTTTTACTTCATGTTCTGTTTTCTTTGTCACTAGATTAGGTAGGGTTTTTGTTGTTCATTTGAGCTTAGCAGACCTCATAAATTGTCAGATTGATTTCAGTTTTGATCATTGTAATTTTTGTAGGTTTTTGCATAAAATGTTGGGTATGCCGCTCAGACTCCGATCCAAAATGTGCAGACCCATTTGACAATTCAACAGTTCCTATTAGTGACTGTAGACAAGAACCAGATTTAAAACACCTACCTGGAGTAAGGCCAGAGATGTGCAGAAAGATACGCCAGAAAGGTATGCCTAGTAGGATGTGTTTTTTACATGTTATTTATACCTCACAGAAACCAGATCAGGTCTCTGGTAAGGCTCTGGATTTTATTTAGGAGGCACCCAGTGCAGATTTTGTAGTTTACATCACTTCCTCCAGGCCAATGCAGGAAGAGTATATTGAAGTAGCCCACAATCACTGCAGCATCTGGTTCACCAGTGGTCTCCAGATGGATGGTTGCCAGTTCACCATGGGTAAATTAATGGAGACCATTAGCAAATTTAAAATTATTTGTATGTTTAGTGTACTGACAAGTGAATTGTCTGGTAGATCTAACTTGTATATCTTGAGTTCAGCTTATACGTGAAGGTTATTTGAGAGCCAGCCACAAATCATTCAGCCAGGCCATTGGAAGAGAGACAAACTCCTCTCATTTCCTTCTGCTGTGCCTGGACCCACAGTGCAATCGACATGCCCATAGGCCAACTGATCACAAACAAAATGCACTCAAGTCACAATCAAATGCTTTGAATGATCCCTTTTGTGATGCACACATTACATTCATCTCTGTAAAAAGTTAGCATTCAAAAACTGAAGTTCCTTATCAGAAACAGAAAATTTTGAACCTGAAACTTTAAACTCCTGGCTCTTGTGCAAGGCATCTAGTTCTAAGAGGATTATTCAAACCTAGCACCAGTTTCAATCCAAGTTGTTTTTTACAAAGTAGGTGCTGTAGTGAACTGTAAAGTGTGTGAATTAGTGAAACGGTATAATTACTTTTAGTTACAATGTGCTAGAGTTCAGTAAATGTGATTACCAATCCAAACCCACTCCATAGGCACTCGGGTAGGTGAAAATATAAATAAATATAGAAATTTTGCTTTATGTTCATATTTTGACAGACCAGAATGCTTCTATTAAAATTAAATCAGATTGGTCACACTAGATGGTGGTGTTGCTCACTTAATGTAAGATAGCGTGATGGATCAGAATGCAGTCTGTTAATAAAGTATGTCGTGTTTCAGATAGCACATTGTATGTTAACATTGTTGCTTATTACATAATTATTAATGTAATGTAATATTTATTTCAGTACATGGAGAGTGGCGTTATTTTCGGAGCTGTGCCTATGTGGGTGAACCAGGGATAGAAGGAGATGAACGGTTTTGCCTAATGCGAACTGGAACTTACAATATCTTCATGGAATACTGCACTTGTAAAGCTAAAGATGGCTGTAATTCAGCTACAAGTTGGACACCATCATTGTGGCTTGCGTTGTTCCTGTGTGCAGCAGCATGGCAGCTATCTGACATGCTTGGAGTTGTACGATAATTTTGGGTACCAGCCTACAGTATTCTTGTTACAGTTGTGGATGAAAATTATATATCTATGCCACCCAAGTTTCGTACACAGTTTCAAAAAAGTGTACAAATAGTGGCAGGGCAAATGTCTGAAAATCATGTTATGAAGGATTTGCATTCCTATGACTAATTTGTTAGTAACAGTGAAACCTCAATTTGTATTACCCTGGCTTGTTTAGACTTGTTTTTTGAAGGCTTTGCTCAGAATCCTGTAGGACTGTAACATTATTTTCCTCAATTTAGTGTTTCTCCGCTTCTCTGTTACCTCTCTACTCACCTTTCACAAACAAATGAATTGAGATTAATTGTGCTTGTGAATGTTTTTGTATTTTGATCGGTATGACTTGCCATTATAGTGCAATAATTTTGTGTTATGTAAGTATTCCCAGTGTTCATGATATTTTACATCTTTGCTTGTTGATGATGTGCAGTCTGTTCATAATGCAGTATTTCGCTTGTCACAGTAGTTGACTTCATTGTTCTCAGATTAGTTTCCTTTGACTGATATTAATTTTTAGGGAAAATTCAGCAATATACCATGTATTACAGTAAGTGAGACCTGAATATTTATAACAGGGTCTTGTATTTTAAGGTTAAACATAAAGAAAAAAAAATTGAATTAATATGCTACAACTTACAGGAAATCCATGGGAAAAGGCATTTTGCAATTTTGATATACAAGTTTCTGTTGATGTGCAAGTCTGTGGGCAGTGTTACAAACAAAACAGAAAAAAGCACTGCATATATTTCACCATATGTTTCACAGTCTGTAACATATGAAAGAAATGTGATAGCCCACGTTATTCAGTAACAGACATTTTGTGGAAGTGAAGGTCTTCAGCAGGAAGCTATGTAAGTTAATTATTTATTCTTAGAACAGTGTTTCCTTCAGTATGTGTTCAAAATATGTCCATATGGGTAACAATAAGTTGGGGTTTCACAGCTGTTTTGTTCACTTTTCTTTATAAGTCTTTGTGAAATTATGAATATAATTAACATGGACAAGGAGAACCTTTGGCTGGTATAGGTTATACTCATCAGATTCTGGTGGATTTAGTATTTGTTAAGCAACTAAGCCTATTCATATAAATTGGTTGTTGCTATTGGGTTTGTGTAACAGTAATGCTGCAGGCACATATTCACGAAGTGCCCAGTTTGAATCTCAGCCAGGACACTGGGTGCCCTGTCTTCCTGGCTTTCCTCAGTCCCTCCAGGCAAATGTTAGTTAGTGCATCCACTAGACCACAACCGCTGTTTATTAATCTGTCATCCTACTATTTGACTTTATATAGTTTAGCTATAGTAAGTTTCACAAAATAGCCTACAAAAATTGAGATAGTAAATACAATTTTATAACTACCCATTTATTTTATTTAGTGAAATAGCTCTATTTTTTTGGGTGTTAGTAACAAAATCTTTGCATCTGAAATGAGGAAATTATTCAATCAATCATTCACTGTGATAAATTCATTCTTATTGAAGGTATAATATTTTTGTAGGTTGCACTGATAATAGACTTACTATGTCAATCCGTCCAAATGGCTGATAATTCATTGTACTTTGTATTATATTATGCTCAGGTTTAATCAGTTCTGCTACAGACATTGCTTCATATGTCAGTGTATTTTTATGTTTCTTTACACTAACATTCAATATCCGAGGATTCAGTGTAATGATCTTAACTCTTTGAGTTAAGATCATATATCCATATCCAGACAGATCAGGGAGTAGGCCATTTTGGGTAGTAAAAGCTTTTAGATACCAGCAATTCATTACAGGGGCTGAAAAAAATACTAAAAGGCAGTGAAGAAATACATACAGGATATATGTTCATTAGTATATAATGTTACTGCAGTAAAAAGCGGGACTACATATGTGTGGTGGAAGTACACAACACTGGCCGCTAATCACTATCACTAGAACCCAGATGGTGAAGTGTGCTGCTGATGTCAGTGGTACCATTACTTTTGGCCATGGTCATGATGATAATTGCAGTAGTTGGCACTTCCTTGAACATATCCATAAGTTCTTTTTTGTAGCACACTTGAAATTTTTGCACAAGTTGTTATGGATAATTGGAGTTCAGAATAGTAGAATCATGGATACAGGTGATACAATCTGAACAGGAATGTATGGGACCTCTTTATACGGTTGGCAGTACTTTTCGTTCTAGTGTGCCTTAAAAGTGTATTGTATTCTTGTTACAAACCATAAATATTTTGGTTTCAATTTCATCCTGATATGAGAAGCTCAAAATATTTGCATTGTGTATTTGTGCTGATTAATGTACAAGTATTTGAGATCTAAAGTCTGGATTGTCATCTTACATCAAACGTGAAAGCCAAAAATTCACTTTGCTGATATTTAGGAAAAGCAGTGCTGGTAGTATAGAAAGTCTCGGATAAGTGATGGAGGCAGTAAGAAATGGATAGGTGTGAATAATGTGGTCATGCAAATACTCTCATGTTCCTGCACTGTAAATGACCCAGGTGGTGCATGTGGTTACTCCCGGTAAAAAATGGCAGAGTGTTCAATTGAGGCCACTCTTTCCTTTGGTATTGCTGTTGTAAAACTTATTATGTATACAGTCTTGTACTTACATGTAGAATGTTTTGTATGTATATTTTCAGATTTAATTTTATAACATTTTGCAGTGTTGTTAACCATATATACTTTGTAAGATTTGAGGCTTTCACGGCGGTGACTATGAAGAAAGCAGTCTTCTGGGATTTGGCACCGTGTATATGTGGTGTTAACCGACGTTTCGGAGGAACGTATCGCCTCCATCTTCAGGGTAGAAGAAAAAATATATAAGAAATCTGCAAGCAAAGAGACCGTGAGAACCGGTAAAAGCANAATCTTAACTGCTACATTTATACTGGAGAAGTTATGTACTGTACTGTAGCAGATACTTATTTAGAAAATTGTTTTGTTTCCTTTTTGTATTTTTGTAATATGGAAAAACACAGATTTGAGGGATTTACAAAGCACATTGAGAGAAACTGACAGTCTAACCCACACAGAGATTTTCAGTACTGTTATGTTGGCAACTCTCAGATACTGAAATATAATGTTAGAGTTGGCAACATCATAGTAAACAATTTAAGAACTAGGTTATGTCTTGTTACCTTGTTCTGTAGGATATCCTGCAGAAGACTCAACGCCTATATCCATCAAGAAACTTGAGGACTATAAAAGCATGCAGGAATATGTTAATGCCTCCATGTCAATAAATCTCAGACTAGTCTCAATGGACAAAAATAACAAGTACTACAGTACTAGATGCAGTAGTTGCAATTTAATGTCTGTTTCAGATGTCTACCATCTTTACTTTAATATTACATGGCCTTGCAAAAGTGATACACTTGATTATGTAAGAGAACAAAAATAAGTTGTTTATATCTACATTTTATTAGTCATATACAAATTGTTATATTTTTAGATTTCTGTCATTACCTGTCACATTCCAATAATTTGCTTGTATAAAATGAACAAGAAAAGTATATGAATGCAGTGGAGAAAGTGAAGAGATTGCATACAACACAATGTGTTAATTAATATTTACAACTTCCTCTTGCATCTGCTAATTCATGATGAATTTGGTTCCAGGATTGTGCAGATGCTAATGAAATTCTTGAGGGTTGTGGTCTTTGTCAAATTTCATTTTATTTAGGAAGTAGATTATGGCTCTGGTGATATTTAATTATGTTTGTATGGAAGCATTAATATTTTTAAAAATCAGTATCCCATTCTAACAATTAAAAGTATTTTGATTTGATTGATTATTTTAAGTTAAATTTGAAAATAGACTTGCACAGATAGGTGTACTTGGGTGATCAGCTCTGTTGGTATGGAGTGAATTTACATTGTTTCAGGAATTTTTTCTGCCTTCATCAACAGTGACACAAACATTGGTCTCGAGTGATGGAGGCAGAGATGTTCATAATGACATGGCTGATTGCCAGAGAAGAATTTATAATGTTCAGTCACTGCGAAAACTATAAATGTTACATAAACTCTTGTGGATATCAGAGATGAGAATGTAGCTGAAATGTAAAACATTGTGTAAGATTATATTTGGGAACTCAAGGTTGAGTCTAAAGATTTTCTGTGTTTGGTGTATGTTTATTGCAAAACCAGTTTTGTAGAATAGTGCTCATTTTAAGACATAGTGTATTAAGGTTGTTTATGAGAAGTTATGTAGATCATAATTATTTGTTCAAACATGTGCCTTAATTTTCATTGGTGTATCAGTCATTTTCATTTTCAGGGTCACATGAAATTCCCTAAGCAGTTGTATAATACAAATGCCTACACATCTGTACTTAGAAGTAGTTAACAGCAGCAGCTACCACTGTCCATTACTGCAGTTTTATCATATCAGAGTTTCCTGTTAATATATGTGACTTTTGTACTATGCACATAGAATGGTGTTAGATACCTTCACAAGCATTAAATGTTTTTATAAGTTTTGTGTTATGAAAAAGTACTAAGATGGAATTCCACTGTCCCCATGCAGTACCAGTCCATGATGCATCATGTCCCCATGTGAAATGCCATGACTGATTGCACATATACCATCCCTTCCCACCTCGTGGACTGAAAACCTCAGTCATTGTATTCAAAAGAGCAAAGAGAAATTTAATTATGTGCGTAATTTGTTGGGAGGTATGAAAAAATCGCTAGTTATAAGGTAGTTTTTTCAAAAGGGTGGCTTGGAGCATGTTTAACAAATGCCAATAATTTTTATATAGAACTTTCCTTTCATGATGTTTAACGTGTTTTCATGCATTCAGACAGATGCCATATTATTATTATATGCCATCTCCCAAAGCTCATTTCTCATAGGTAAAATGTGAAGTGGCCCCTGTACTTAATTAATTTAGGACTATGCCATGAAGGCGTATGGAGGAGTGGATGTATAGAACCACATTTTCTTGGCCTAGGCACTAGTTGAAGGTGAGTGGTCAGCTTCATGCCCTTGCTGCTTTACCTCTCGTGAAAGAGCTCCCGGTACCCATTGGACAGGAGGCTGAGTGGGTCCCAGAGCTGGTCTGGATGATGTGCAGCAGAGAAAATTCTTAACCGTACCAGAACTCAGAACTCCCATTCTTTGGTTGTCCAGCATGCAGCCAGTAGCCATATGCTAATTTGTAACTCAGTGGTACAGGATTTTCCCATAAGAAACTGTCCAGAAACATTTGTCTCGGTTTTCTTTGCAGCCATCATGAAATCTAGTCAGCCGTATTGAAGGATCGACTGCATGCTGAAAGGATGTTTCACCAGTACATCCTGTAAGGCAGAGGTGGGTTGTGTTTCTCCAGATGAGACCAAAAGTGGAGTTTTTGTTTGTGGCTAGCAGAAAGAATCATATAGAAGTGGCGTGGATTACAAGAGAGTTCATGAAAGGAAGTAGATGGAGGACAACCCTGTATGTATGATTATATGTAAACATGCCAGTTGCATAAAAATGCAACCAATTAGGGCAACTTGACATGTTTCACAATAGTATAGCCAGATATAACAAAATAAAATTATGGTGGCAATGCAAAATCAGGCATTTTGATGCCAACGACCTAACCAGTCCTCAACAATTAAAAAGACTGTAAGTTAATGAAAATGTGCATAAAAGTTATGGACATTTCAGGTTTGTAAAGTTGTCTGAGCTGGCAACTGTGGGACCGTCACGGTGTTTCCATTTTTTTTTTTTTTTCCCCGGCCGAGGGGAAGATGCCCAGTTTGACCTGCCGTTCATGTCGCTCATGTTAGCAATACAAACATCGAAATTAGTAAAGGGGGGAGTACAGATGTTTCACGGGTACTTTTGCAGAAACCTTCGAAATGTCAGAAGCCACCCAAATTATTAGCTGAATCGACAAAAATATCCATAATCTAACTGAATGTTATAAGCTTTTACTACCATGCTTTGCTGCTCATTGGGCGGAAGCAATGTCAGGACATGGGCTCACCCATTTCGTAGTACGTGTGTTATGAAACGTGAAATTTTTTAATATAAATCTAAAGAAAGCTGATTTAGTATCCTCAGAATTAGACTTAACGCCTGTTGAGGCAACTTCAGAGTCATTAATTTGTCAAAGTCTGAGGCTCACTGGCCAACCAATGTTAGTACGAGTAACTGTTCACAATGCCATAGTTGTTATCGTTATTGTATGTTAGGGTGCGTAATTCGTGAGTCAGGTTGGGTGTAAGTGTAGCGGAAGGGAGTATCTTCGTAGGAACTTTACGAATGAAGACATGGATCTAAACGCGAGTTTTGGTGCATTATTAAGTGTTATAGCCCTATTTTCGTGCTTGTCGTTCGGTAAGTCGCAGGTGTAGTTTTTAACCGAGGAAGCAGTTAACTTGTAGCAAGTAACTTAACCTATATTTATCGTTTCATTTCTTAAACGATTCTTCTACAATTTGGGTGCAGATTTTCGTAAATATTTTATACAGTACACTTCTTGGTTTTGTTTTGAAACTGCAGCATGAATTAGGCGTGTATATTAGTTATCTGGAGCAGATATTGTCGAATGTTCTGACTCCAGTGTTCCAACAAATATAGTTGAGTATTTATTGCAGGTGAAGCAATTCAGTGTTACCAGTGTTCATCAGGACAAGACGCGAAAGGAGAAGACAATTGCGGAGCTTATAAGAAATTTGACAGAAATCGTCACATTGCCGTTGAATGTAGCAGTGATGAGTCGTACACTCCAGGAACATTCTGCATGAAGATAACTCAGCAAGGTCCAAAGGGTTTTATATGTAAGTTTGACCTTTTTGTTTACTGTCTCAATGCAAGTTTGAGCTTTTCATTTACTGTTTAAGCTTGGGGTTAGAAAACATGGCCCACATCAGAATGTAGGAAATGGATGATAAAAGTATAGCCCATTATTTTGTAGCTAACATATTATATAGGTTACTCTGTGTTCTGAGAATTAAGATATGGTATTTGATTTAAATCTAATTATGAAGTTTTTATCTTATATTCAACAAATGTCCCTGGTTCACCATCTTACGTGCAACATGCCATCATAAAACTTAGTGTCTTCCATACACACAGTGCATTATTTGAACCTTATTTAAACGCTTCTGTACATTGCATTACATGTTTCGGCCAACATTGATCATCAGATGTTTGAAAATTGTTTGTGGAAACTGCTCTTAGATGGGACTACACATCAAATATTAGAATCACAAAACAGAAGCACAGCAGTTTCCACTGACAATATTTAAACATCTGATGATGACCAATGTAAGTCACATGTTTCCACTGTTGGCTCTGCTGTTCGCTCTTGGGTTCAAACTGGTGGCACCAAGTTTTGTCCCCAGTGGCAGTACAGGACAAAAAAGAATACTCTTCCTCATGGTATTGTTTCAAGTGACCCAGTGATGCAGCCATTCTTTGAGTCTTCTTTTCCTTCATGAGTTGATGTGGAACCCACTGCGCGCAGATTTTGCAGTACAGCAGGTGTTTTGTCACAGTGGCATGTACAGAACCGTGACTTATTCCCATCAAAAGACTAATTTATTCCACAGTGGTCCGTTGCCCGGATATAACCATCCAATGCAGCAATAACATCAGGAGTGACACGATGAGCCTGTCCTGTGCGAGCATCATCTTGCAGTGACACACGTCCCTCTCAGAATCTCTTATGCCACGCCAGCACACATGAACGTGACATGCTGTGTTCACCGTAAATAACAGACATGCAACAATGAATTTCTCATCCTCCTACTCCTTCAGCAGTCAAAGAGCGCACTAAACTTTGCTATTCTTCTTTACCTGCTTCCATTACTGATGTTGGACAACCACACGTATCGCTAACCTTACTTCCAGCACAATAAACAAACGACTAGTGTACAAGGGCACGTCACTTTGCTTTCCCGAGTCTTTGCCAGATGTCCATACCGTAAGCAAATTCCAGTGTTACCAACTTACGTGCCGTCTGAGTTATGTGTGGTGACCCATTTTCATTTGACTGCCCCTTATATAATTGGTGAAATGTCGCACGCAAAATGATCTAAATTTATTTACATTCCAGAGATCTGCCATAGGCCTAATCCAAGGATGTAGAACATGCCATAACAAAAATACAGTACTTGTTTCCAGTATAAATATAAATACAGAACTCCAACAGCTGTGTATACAGTCATCTTTTATAATTCAGAATTACAATGAAATAATTTATGGCAAAGAACCATTATCATTATTTAACAAGTAATGTCTGATTAAGGTACATTCTTCTACAGAGGAAAAGGGACGAAGTAGGAGTTTCTTCTAACAATGGCCAGAATGGCTTTGTATTGTGATTCAAAGATTTGATTATAGGAGAAGATTATTGAATAGCTTAATTCCAGTATAGTGAACTCCTTCCTGATATCTTCTGAGGTTAGTTGCTGGCACATGGAAGATATATCTGTGTGCTGTATTTGGTATTGTGTATAGGGTGTCCCAAAAAAATGTACTCACCTTTTAATGACACCAAATGCAATGTTCTTTAAAATAGATATAAGGTTAATGATTTAAATTGAAGAAAACAAGTCTGCTGCACCATGCATGTTTGCAAATGTTCAAACTGATGACCATCGTTATCCAGACAGAGCTGATAACACGGAACAATGGAATTACAAACAGTATGAAGTATTTCATTTGGAATTTAAAGACGTTGTCTTTCAATTTCCTCTTTCAATTCATGGACTGTTGCTGATTGTGGCATAAACCTTATCTTTGAGGTATCCCCACAAAAGGAAGTCCATTGGTGTCAGGTCTGGTGAACGTGGAGGGTATTCAGTGCTACCTCTTCGCCCAGTCCATCTGTCTGGCAAAGTTGTATCGAGATAGGCTCTTCACGATGATAGAGGGGAGGTGCTCAATCTTGTTGAAAGGAAATCTCTGCATCACCAAACATCTCTTCAATGTGTTGCCCGATGCCCGACACAGAATTTTTTGTTGTTGCCATTTTGTGAATTTTATAGATTAACCTGACTTTCATGTTTTTCTTGTCTCTTATATCATAGTGCATTTTAATCTTCCCACAACATTTTAAAGGTAATCTCATGTTCAGAGATTACAGGCAGTTCAAAAGGAAAACAAAATAGAGTTGCAAAAGTGGAGATCATAATTAATCTTACCACTAGTAGAAATAAACTAATACTAACTTGAAGAGTGCTGTCTTCTGCGAAATAATGCCATGTAGTCCATTGAAAGTCAACTGACATTTCAGAGGAACATATCGCCTCCATATTCAGGGTTGAATAAGCTGAGCAACATACCAGTGTGAAACATTGATTGACTTTCAATGGACTATGTGTTATATCCGAGAAGATAATACTCTTCATAACCGCCGCTGTGAGAACCGCAGAGCATATATAATATTTGTAATCTTGGATCATTTGTATAAGTTCACAGTTTCCTGATTCAACCAAGCATCATTTCTGAAAAGGAAATTAATACATATAGATGTTTGAAAGAGTTCTGTAGTCTGTCTTCAGTTAGCTGTATTGAATGAGCTGACTGTGTGGATTAATTTCAGGGGATGGAAGATGGAGACAAGTAATAAGGCGCTGTGCTTCTGTTGCTGATACAGGAGTAACTGGAGTATGCAATTGGGGTGTTTACGATAACGGAATCTACTGGGAGGAGTGCTACTGTTCAGAAGATGGCTGTAATAGCTCATCTTCAGTACAGACATGCTTATTAGCCATTGTGGGGTGTGTGCTTTTTACAACATTTATTCACAGCTGGCTGTCTTCATTATTTTTTCCATAGGAACTTGCATCATAGTATATTTTCAATATAAGGGATTACTCTGCAGGAAATATATAGAAAGTGGGATGTGGTTTCGTGGCTTAGACATAAGGGCAGGAATTGTAATCGATGGATTTAAGAGGTACAAGCAGGGTGACATAAGACATTGCAGTATATTAAGTACTTTGTGTGAGAGCTTCAGTCCCGTTGTTCTTGCATATAAGTTCACCATGTATTGAAGTGAGGGACCATATGATTCCTAATCTAAATAGTTCGCATCCTGTCATGTGCCTCAAATAAGATATAAAGCATACAAGAATACACCATCTACACAACAACACTCGTATTTTAAAACAAAGAAGACACTACTGTATCAACATTTGTTTTTATTAAAACTTTTATGGACGCAACATGTTTCGACCCTTATATTGGGCCATCATCAGGCATACAATTTTCGGCTTTAGGCTGCTGAACTGCATCCCGTTATCATTCATTTCACTAAATCATGATCCTTATTGTGTATTTGACTTCATTCAAATACATAAATATATATAAAATAAGTCTTGGTCGAAATTTTAACTGAATGTACTTAAAGTAATACATATTAAAATTGTAACCTAAAAAGATAAAGTTAAAAATATGATAATTTAATTGAATGTACTTAAAATGATACAATTAAAATTAAAACCTAAAAATTTAAAAATATAGAATCTGACTTTTAATTTCTCATATTTTTAACCTTAACTTTTTTAGGTTGTAATTTTAATTGTATCATTTTAAGTACATTCAGTTAAATTTTGACCAAGACTTATTTTATATATATTTATGTAATTGAATTAAGTCCAAAACACAATAAGGATCCTTATTTAGTGAACTGAATGATGATTGGGTGCAGTTCAGCAGCTTAAAGCTGAACATTGTATGCCTGTGATGGCCCAATATAAGGGTCGAAACATGATACGTCCATAAAAGTTTTAATAAAAATAAAAGTTGATACAGTAGTGTCTTCTTTGTTTCAAAATACAGAGTGTTGTTGTGTAGTTGGTGTATTCTTGTATGCTTTATATCTCACATGATTCCTATATACACAGTTTGTGATGTCTTGCCTGCTGAGATTGAGTGGAAAGAATGTATATGCTTTCTTTTGTCCATTTCTCCTGTAGACAGTTCTTCTGTATTTTATAGTATTGTAAAAAAATGTATTTTTTTTTTTAATTTTTAAATTCAACTGTTGACTACTAGTTGCGTCAGCAATCTGTCATGGAAATCGCAAAAAGATCAGGTGTTGCTCTGCCTGTAGAGAGCCAAGCCAGAATCTGAAATGATGTTGACACGAATCTCCCATAATATGGTATTGAGCAGTTCTGATGCGCAGCCTTTCCATTTAATGTGCTCGCTGCAGGGGCTACTGTCCTTTCTGCTTGGTTGATTACGTGGTAACATATAGAGAGGTTTACTGGATCAGTTGCAGTATCTGCACTACATATCTGTCAGAGTTAATTATAACTGCATGAAACACAAAGTGGAATTTCCTTATACATGAAGTTCTACTACACTATGTAACAGTTGGTGTGCCGTGGACTTGATGACAATTATGAGTCTGTTTTATTCAGACGAAATTAATTCTGTAAGATATTTTCTGCAAGTGAACTAGTAACCTTCACTGTAAGATGGTATCACTCTAGCTGACCAACCCAACCAGTGAGCTTGAATATTACATTCCATAACAGACAGTTTTACAATTACTGTGCTCTTCATGCATGATGCACTTGAAATTACATGATGAAATTTCATCATATTAATATTGGTATTACATTTTATTGAAAATATGTATTCAAAACAATATTAATGATCTCATATTATGTCTACCTTTGAGGTTAACAGCAGGCTGTATGTCATTTGCTTGTCTGCTGTACCTTTAAGGTTTGAAAGATACTTTATCAAGATAGTTTTACTTCAAGAAATTAATGAAGTATACTTCAGAACCATGTGCCTTTAATTCATATCATGAACACAGGGGTTAAGAGAATGTTTTGTCTTCTAATCCATGATGAGTGAAAAATCAAGTTAAAAATTGTTCCATGCTATATATATATATATATATATATATAAAATATGAATTTGATGTTTTTCTACCAAATGTTGAAAGCTCTTTATGAATGATGATTTTTATTTAGTTGGTGAATACTTATATCAGACAATGTGTTACTGCTAATTATTGATGCTGATGACCATTCTAATGAAATATAGACCTGTTAAGGGGTTAGGAATGCATATAAGACTTAGTCATGTAAGGTAACTCTTTTCTGCTACAGAAAAATGTTTAAAGAAGTTTTGTAAATTTTTAAAGGATGCAATTTTTTGTTCAGTGTCTCTAATGGATATCAGTAACACAGAGAGGTATATTGGAAGGACAACATTACATTGGGACAACTCAGTGTTAACGATAGGTTGAAGCAAGGGTAATTCCTTCTCATATTCCATGCCTGTTATCCAACTAAATCATATGTCATAACAGTTATGCATATGTGCATAGTGTTGGGTAATCCACATCCTTATCTATACCTGTTTTGATTAATGAAATAGATTTCCAGTTTCAGCCTCTCACAGCCAGTTTTGCAGTTTTATCAAAGATTTTGATGGAGGTGGTGCTAGGTATAAACTGTGCACATAAGAATTAGTTTTGGTATCATTTTCAAGCTGTAGACGGGGTTCTGCTTCTGTCTTAGTTAAAACAAAACAAACTCCACGGTTTTAGTGTGCAAGTGAACTATACCGACCAAGTGACCTCTGCTTGTTGGCGAAGTTAATGTCAACTTAGTTATAACAGAAGTTTAAAATGTGAAATTCAGAAATGGCTACGTGGCGATGATAAAAGTTTTTGTTAGGCTGGCTGAAGACCTACTTCATTACCAAAAAAAATAAGCATCATAAAGCATCTCTGTGTGTGGCTGAGGAGTCAACATGCAACTCCTGTAAATGATATGAAAATACTGTAGATAGGAAGGTTTGTATAAATTGGAAGGCATTTTTTGTGAGTAGAGCTCTTCTTTAAACCATTTAATTTGAGAAGGGATATCCAGTGTCTTAAAACTGGACATGCACATTTTTTACAGTAACCGATGAAGTTATAGTACAGAAACACACTTTACTATAGGTTGTAGAAATACTTGTGGAGCAGTTGCTCATGAGACAGATTCTGTTACAGTGAAGATATTATTTCAAGAAGCAAAAGGAGGAAACATTCCAGTGTTGTTTTATCAACTTCAGGAGGTGTGTCAGTATAGATAATTTTTAACTGTTATTTATAAATAATGTATTACTGGGAAGAATTGGCGCACACAAAATATTACTGATGAAAGCATATGTACTGAGTGAGATGTTGATGGGTTAATTATACTTCACAATGAATTTTGTTAGACGTACCGAAAACTATGAGCATAAATATGTGATTGTGATAATGAAATAATATTTTATAATATATATTTTGTTAGACATGTAGAAGGGTTTTATAATGGTAAATGAAAACTTTTCATTGAGGATGTTTTCTGTTATGCAATGTCAGCAGCTATGACTCCTGACTCAAAATCATGGAGACAGAATTTAGGAAATAATTTTTTTTCTAATATTGTTGCCAGAATTTTTAAACCTTATTTTGAAAAGTTTTTTCAGTATTGATTTTGAGTCCTTTTGCATTTTCTAAGTACTGTTTAATAATGTTAAAACAAGAATGTTTACCCATCATTGAATGAGGGAGAATTATTGCAGTGTTTATTGCATCAATGACCGAATTCCCAAAAGTAATGATCTAATATGGCTGTTAGTTAGAATTCTGACTTGTAAATTTCTTCCTCTTCCTACCTCAAGTGATGTAGTATTGTGTAAACAAAGGCCTCTTTGTCAGACATCCTGGTAGCTTAAAATACACTGGTTCTAAACACCCAAAACTGGAGAGTAGAGTTAACAAAGGTCCTAGGTTTGTTACCTATATGGATATATGAAAAATAAAGGAAATAAATTAATGATATGACATGACATCATCCACATAATGAGGTTAACTTAATATTGTGGGCTTTCCACAATTAAGCACAAAGTGTAAAACACAGCCACAAAGGGGCTACAGAGCTGGGGGAAGTACATTATAAGGCAGAAATCGTTTACTGTCCCCAGAAGGAGAGTGTTCCAATACTTTCATTTTAAAAATAATATCAGTATATGACTAAACTGATGTAAAGGTGAAACATACACGTAGATATGGACCAGAAGAGTGTTCCATTAACTCCAGGTTACCGAGATGAGACCAAAATGGTGACAAGGTGCCTGTGCTCAACTAATTGTACCATATAAACCTCAATATAAGGTGACCTATTTTTCCATTGAGAGAATAAGGGGGGGGGATTCTCTTGCTGACAAAATTGGATATGTCATTTAGGTGTAAGGGTTGTAAGCTAAAAGAAGTAAAAACTGTGCCATTAAAAAGTAATAAATATGAAATGTAATACCGTAAATATAATTCTAGATATCAATAGTTAGCAGTTAGAACTCGTAGGCAACATCTTCATATTTATTCTCAAGGGCCCAAAAGTAAAGTGACTCCTCTTTTTTAACAATCAGTATCTAAAAGGAAAAGAAGAAAACCTTGCCTTATATTCTGGATAATATGGTGATTTCATTTAGTAGATGGGACAGATAAGTGTTAAAACAGTAAGAAATGGTACTGGAGGTGAAAGATGTTTTGATGAAATAATTTACACATTCAAATAATAGCAGATTGAGCACATTGGATGAGTAGAAAATGCATAGTACTGTAGGACAGCTGTAGACATGGAAGTAGAGATGAACATTTGGGAGACTAGTGAAGGATGAAACTTGTAAAAGAGAGGTTATGGTAAGACAAAAAGAGTGGAAATTAGTTCAGGATGTGAAAAGGCTTCAGGGTGGACACAAGCAGTGATGAAGAGGATAAATTGACATACTTGAAAGATAGTCATACTCTTTGTGTTATTGATTTCTGATGTTGTATTTAGAGGTCTTATAGTTGCTGATTTGCACAAACTGGTGTGTTGGTTGGCTTGTGCCTGTCCTTGCTCAGGTTTCATTGCTCACAAATAATTTTTGTTATAGTTGTATGTCAATGTAACTGATGCTAGAGAGGCTCCAAGGTATGCCATCTTGAAGAGGAATGAAACTAAATTGTGTCATGGATTCAAAATATTTGAGGAGCAATGAATTAGGTTATTCAACATCTAGGTACATAGGAGTGTATTTTGGGCAAGTATCTTACATGAGTATAATCTGATCCCTGTTCTTATATAGTGTTTATATATAAGTGTGTTGGGAATGTGTGATTTATGTATACATACTTTTATTCCAAGGAGGAAAGGTTTTAACACTGAGCCGTCCATTCGTTAAGTATTAAGAGCAGAGTTATTTTTGATGAGTGTTTTCTTGCTTCTTATTTTTTAGTAATTTTAATAGTGATATGTATAGTACATAATCTGTTAGTTTATAAGTGCTGTGTATCAGCCACATTTAATAAACTCTTTAACAGGGAAGTAAAATCTCTATGTACATGTTATGTAAGAGTATGAAATAACTTTAAGAATATTAATCCGTATCATTCCACTTGTATGAAAGGTGGCTTCTCAAAGAATATACATGTATATACATCTTTTTATGATT